GTATCATATAATTTTGTACAATGAGCGAATGAAAAAGTCTCTGCAAAAATGCCCATTGACTTAACATGGGGAGCGAAAAAAGTTCAACTTTGACCTCGTGCAAAGTCACGTTACGAAGTTCTGAGGGGTATACGGCGCACACTAGCGTGTACCCAAACGTGTTTGCCATAAAATGCTGGGAAGAAAACCACCTCTTCCTTGGCTCGTTTTCCCGCTATTCGCGATCGCGCAAAAAGTGTCCAAAACCCCATTGACTTAACATGGGGAAAATGGAATCGCACGTGCCACGTGCCACGAGGTTTTAAGCGAGTAGCGACCGAAGCCATCAGGTAGATCGCCTGCGGGAGCCCATACACTGAAATTTTTAAGAAAATCGAGCCACAAGTTTAGGCCTGACCCAAGTTGCCCCAATTCGCGGCCAGACATGCAAAACATAGCCCGGAGAAGGACCGCTCCGGTTGTTTTTCAATAGAAAAACACAATTCTAACGAATAGTGTTTGTCTTTTCAAACAACCTGCGGTTATGTATTGGGCGCAGCTGTTAATCTGACCAGCAGCTCATGTGATTGCATTGCTCACCGTGCCCGACCCAATCGGTGTTCCTAGTGGCAGCGGCACACTGCAGTGACTGGCGAGACGTTCGATAGCAATTACCAGCATCTGCGATGCTGGGCTCCGCATCGCGGGACCGCAGGTTGTTTAAGCAAGCACCTTTGTAAACGCAGCAAAAACGCCCGCCGCCAAACGAGAGGATGAGTCTTGCACGTGCAGACCGGAGTGGGTGTGCTACAAACTGACGTGCACGGCACCCTATTCGCCGGTCTATAACGGTGTGCCAAATTTGAGTGCAATCGACCTGGCCGTTTTCGAGATCTGGAAGCGACACCTTGCACGTGCGCACGTGCAACCTGGGTCCCAATTGACTTGTGCACGGCACTCTGTTCGCCGGTCTCTAGCGGTGTACCAAATTTGAGCTCAATCGGCCCAGCCAATTTCAAGATCTGGAAGCGACACCTTGCACGTGAGTTCGTGCAACCTGGGTCCCAATTGACTTGTGCACGGCACTCTGTTCGCCGGTCTCTAGCGGTGTACCAAATTTGAGCTCAATCGGCCCAGCCAATTTCAAGATCTGGAAGCGACCCCTACACGTGCGCACGTGCAGCTGCACCCCAACCGCGGCACATGAAAATACATACTTACTGACTTGTGCACGGCACCCTACTAACCAATCTCTAGTGGTATGCCAAATTTGAGCACAGTCGGTCCAGCCGTTCTTGAGATATGGAAGCGTCAGCCTGCACGTGCGCACGTGCAAACTGGGTCCCATCTGACTTGTGCACGGCACCCTACTCGCCGAGCCCTAACGGTGTGCCAACTTTGATCACAATCGGCCCAGCCGCTCTCGAGATCTGGAAGCGTCACCCTGCACGTGCGCACGTGCAGCGGCACCCCAACCGTGACACACAGAAATGTATTACCCGGCGGGTGCCTACCCCCATGCCATGTATCAGCGCAATCGGCAAAATAACTACAGAGTTATTAGACTTGCTACCGAACTGACACCTCTTCGTTTTGCACGTGGCACGTGCACTAGGGGTGACCCATATGCATCGAGAATAGCGATGAACGTCTACGTGTAAGAAAGGAAGAAGCAATCTCACTCAAAAGACCGCGAGTGAATCGGTCCAGTGGTTGCAGAGATATAAGGTTTGTAAAGGCACCCCACAGGCGGCCTACTGCTAATATTCAGCAATAATCAGTGTCGCGTCCGCACATGGGAGGTGTCCCCTTCACCTGTTCGTATATTTTAATGTGGTTGGCTTCAAGTCACAGTCGAGCCCTGCTTTTTTACAACTTTTCTTGAAAACGGCACACCGTGCAGTGACGTTCTATACATCAGTGGAAAGCGCATCAAAAGTTGTATATTATATTAACTTTTCACCTATATATATTACTAACAATAAAAGTTATAGAGGAATAAAGACGCACCCATTGACTTTCCATGTTAAAAATTTCCATTTTCAAACGAACTTTATTAGAAAAAACGATTTCTGCCAGCTTAACGAAGCATACCAGCATGTACTATGCTCCTTTCTCTACACTGTATAGGAGTTTGGGCGAAATCTATCTCTAAAATTTTGTACAAAGATCGAATGAAAATGTCTCTGCAAAGTCTCGGCATCGCCGTCCATTGACTTAACATGGGACATAGCAAAATTCCAACTTTGATCTCGTGCAAAGACACGTTCCGAGATTCTGAGGGGTATACAGCGCACACTGGCGTGTACCCAAACGTGTTTGCCATAAAATGCTGGGAAGAAAACCACCTCTTCCTTGGCTCGTTTTCCCGCCATTGGCGATCGCGCAAAAAGTGTCCAAAACCCCGTTCACTTAACATGGGGAAAATGGAATCGCACGTGCCACGTGCCACGAGATTCTGGCGGGTATACAGCGCACACGGGCGTGTACCCAAACGTGTTTGCCATAAAATGCTGGGAAGAAAACCACCTCCTTCTTGGCTCGTTTCCCCGCTATTAGCGATCGCGCAAAAAGTGTCCAAAACCCCGTTCACTTAACATGGGGAAAATGGAATCGCACGTGCCACGCGCAAAAGACTTCTTAGCGAGTAGCGACCGGTGCCATCAGGTAGATCGCCTCCGGGAGCCCATACCCTGAACTTTTTACGAAGATTGAGCGATTCGTCTAGGCCCCGCTCAAGTTGCCCCAATTCGCGGCCAGACTTGCAAAACATAGCCCGGACAACGACCGCTCCGGTTGTTTTTCAATAGAAAAACACAATTCTAACGAATAGTGTTTGTCTTTTCAAACAACCTGCGGTTACTCAGCGACGCCCCACGCAGGTCGATACTCCATTTCATTTTGGGATACAATGTTGTTGGTATTTCATATACGGGTCGGGACCTGCGTGAAAGTGTGACAGTTTTCCCGGACATTGTTTATCAACTGGGGTTGGTTCAGTGTTTGAAATAGCCTGTCGAAACCATGCTTTCTATGTAATCTTTTGAACGTTTAGAGCTTTTTGCATGCCTAATGCGTATGCGATTTATTGGTATTATAGTACATTTTTGCCGCCGACGCATGTTAAAAAAGTTCAGTTAAATTTTTGTATAAAGGTGGCCTGCTGAAAGCCAGAAGCGCGAGAGACGGTTAATTTCAGTCGACGCCAAAACTCGGAAATGCCTATCAAAACCCATGCATAAAAACACGGCGGTTAATTTCATTATACCGCAGTTTTCTTCTCTTCAAAAGCTCCCTGTTAAACAATGCGTTCGATGACTGAAACTTCAATAAAAGTCCGGTCATAGAAGTTTGCAGCTTGGAATAAAGTAAATTGCGAAACAGGTTGACAGGTGAATTTTGAAAAGCCTTAATGTAATGACTTATCGTATGCATTTCAAAGATATGGCTTGGCAGGTTACGCAGAAATTTAGAAGGCAGATTTCGAGGTACGTTCTCAAGAGCCAGTGAAAATAACAATTGAAGATGAACCTTACGAAACGGGAAGAACAGCACTGCCAGGAGCCAGTGTTTGTAGTAAGATCGACGTTTGTTATCATACCTTCATGGATATTGGATGTCAAAATATAGAACGCAACGACATTTTCCCACTTATGAGGACAAAGCATGTCTCCGCAACGCCTACTCCTCACTCGCAATTGCTTCGTAGCATGAATGTCTAATAAAAGTAACAGACGCGTCTCGCATGTTTACCAGGAAATATCTGAGAAATGAGGGATGAATTTCAAGCAAAATACGACGTGGTAGGCAATTTACAATTTGTATACGTATACTGAAACCAAGTGGTAGATTAATTACATTATTCGCCCATCGTGTGTTAAAGTCCATTGGCAATAATTTTCATTATACGCCCAAAGCTGTACCAATTTGCTGCCCCCCCCCCCCCATCTTCCATGCCCATCCTTGATGTCGAAGCCCAAAAGCGAACCCTTTCTCAGAGATGCGTTGGTGCTCGGTGCCAAAAATTTACTATAATAAATTTAATTACCCGGTCCGAATACTATACCAGCCATGATACGGTCGCTTTTCCTCAAGGGTGTTTTCATTGAATGTGCTCGCAGGCTCGCACATTCAATGCGAAAATTGCACTCATTTCATTCGTGCAATTTTCGAAAATAGCATCCTCACTCCGTTCGGACGCTATTTTCGATAAAATAATGTCCTCACTTCGTTCGGACATTATTTTAAAACACCCTTGGGAAAGCGACCGAATAATGTCTGGTATAGTGCTCGGACCGGGCAATTAAATATATATTATTATGCGAGCTTAATTCTTTGAAAGGAAAACAAAAACACGATATACGTGTAATTAGCTGGGAATCTGTAATATTAGAGCGTGAGCTGAACCTGCGATATGAAACACGTAAACCAATCAAATAGAAATGAAATTGTCGCAGTTATAACAAAGTCATGACTCATAGTACGCAAACAACTAGCAATTCATTATGACTGGCGCCTGGCTCTTCAATAATCCTTACAGTTTGCGGCTCGGGCTGGACTGTCAGGGTAGACTGTGCCGCAGCGCACCCTGGGCGTGCGGTGCAGTATACCTACCTAAATCTGCGGTCCCAGCTTCGTCATGCCGATTGCCGTGGCTCGCTCAATGCCCCCCCCCCCCCCCCCCCGGTTGCAAATGTCTGATAGTTTGCAATAGTGAGAAACGGCGCCATAAGGCTTATTGCAATAAATATGGTCGTCGAAATAAATAAAACAAATTTAGACGATGTTAGCAGTAGTCAACGATATACATCATGATACAATCTCAAAGTACCTACAGTATGGTGTTCCGGACACTTATTTTAGGTAAATGTCAAACTTGCAAAAGCAAACCGTATTCCGTAAAGCAATCCAATCTATTTAGCTCGGCGGTAGCGGGGCGATGTGTTAATCAGCTGTATTGTGATGCATCTGACTTACACCTGACCGTGGTCACTGTGCCCGTGTGTGTATGATTTTGACAGGTAGTATGATGGACGAGCCGATGCCGTGTGGTCGAAATGGTACCGGCTACCAGTGCCCGGAGGGGTACAACTGTACCACGCACTGGGAGGGGCCCAACTTTGGCATCACCAACTTCGACAACTTCGGTCTGGCCATGCTGACCGTGTTCCAGTGCATCACCATGGAGGGCTGGACGGACATCCTCTACGATGTGAGTGACCACGGTGAGAGCCGGACGAATATACAATTCGTGTGAGTGGATAGGATGAAAAGTAAAATACCATTAGCATACATACCTACGATTTTGAAGGAAGGAGATGCGAAACGATCTGAATACCTTTGGTGTTACTGGACCGTATCATATTGAATACGTGCATTAATCCCAAAGAGCGTGCTTATGAAAAAAACGATTAGAGCTAATGTGTGATGTAAGAAGCTTCATTTTAAATAGAACGATGTCTAAACAGTGTTCTGAATGTGTAATGTGCGTGTTAGAATGCTGTTTTTCTCAGTCTGATATGTAGTCGTAAACCTTGTTGCATTCCAATAAACATATCAAGCATTCACCTTGAGCACTACTGGAAAGGTTTTTGTTGCGATTTTCCTATCACAGGAGAGCTTACGTGATCCGTTACCACAAAATGTGTAATATCCAATGTCCATTTATGCTCACTCAAAACTAAACGTTTAACACTGCCGACGTGTGCCGCGTTGATCTTATGAGGCGCATATTGGGCTCCTGTAGTAGTGTCAACACATGTTAACAAACCATACGGTTGTAGTAATAAATGGACAAGTATTGCATCGAGAGTACATGAACCTCCAGGCTCCACGAATCAAACAATTAAAACAGTTACATTAAAGGCGTACCTTGTTTCATACAACGGCGCTGAAGAAGTCTAATAGACGAAACCGGTACGCCTTTAATGTAACTGTTTTAATTGTTTGATTCGTGGAGCCTGGAGGTTCATGTACTCTCGATGCAAAACCATACGGTTATGAGACTGATCCTCTACTGTGTACGTTGATCGCCCCTGGCAGTTCCAGTCACATGACAAGACACATGTTCAGCATTTTACAGCTCATCTCTCGATCGACCGTTGATGTGTGCGTGCATGTGTAGCCCTGACTAACGCTCTGCCTAACCCTGTTGCTCCCTAGATAAACGACGCGCTCGGAAACTCGTGGCCGTGGATCTATTTCATTTCGCTCATCGTAATGGGGTCCTTTTTCGTGCTCAACCTCGTGCTAGGTGTGCTCAGTGGGTAAGTTAGGGGCGACACGAAGGAGGGGAAGGAAGGCTTCCTTTGTGCATCCCGCCTGTCTGCTCGGCACCTCGACTGGCACTGCTGTGTCTGTTATTTGTTTGGGTCCTGCGGTGTCCTGGGTGGTTCACAGGCTGCACTGAACGTCCAGCAAAGTTGCCCGGCTGACTGTCACCGGTGGATCATTGATCCACACACCGAGCCTGTGCATGTGGACAGGAGGGATCATTTCTGTATTCACGGCCGGTGGTTCTGATTTCAGCACACAGACACTGCAACATATTGCACACTTTTGTGCATGTGCTGTGCAACTGGCCAGCAAAAAGGAGCGTCACCAGTGCTGTCCTCACCCTGAATGCGATGCTGAATGCGCCTTTGACACTTTTTTCTGTTCGTGCCAGATTCAAGACTCCGTGGGAAAATCCTATCCATGGATATATTTCATATCAATGATGCTCGTGGGCGCATTCTTTGTAATGAATCTTATTCTGGGTGTATTGAGCGGGTAAGTTGTCCTCGCCTGTCTCGACTGTGCTTGATGTGGTTTGCTTTTCTTGTGAAGTTCTTGGCTCTCTGTTGTGTTTCGTGTGCCTGCATATTTATCAGTCTGTAGACAGATCTGGCCCTCTTACGCTTCTTCACGGCTTGTCTGAATGTTTTCGTTCTGCGTCAACTGCTTTTGTAACGTGTTTCGCAAGCTTGCCAATTTCTACTGAAAAGCTGGACAGGTTACTGGAGCTTCATTAGACGTATTTGTCATTGTATAGACGCTTCTTCTGCCTTATTGCTACATATGATCTTAAAATGTCGCATACGAGTCGCATGATATGCTTGGGACAATCTCGAAACCATATATAGCGTAGTTAAAGATAATACAATAGTGTCAGATGTTTTAAACTTAAAATAACGTATGAAAATATCAATAGCATGAGTAAAGAGCCACCTTCGGATACGACAATGAGTGGTTCATGGTCGTCTAGTGGATCATTTTTCTAATCCATGTTCATATTATTGCTAATATGAGTCATTTATTCACATTGATAAACATGAAAACCAATCAAATGTCCGGTATCGACTTTAAAAGCATGTTTCTGCGAATAAAAGCTGGCATGTAGCAACAACGAAAAGGAGACGTACTTCAAATCAGAGAGGCACATTGACAAATATTTTTCATTGCCCGATCATGCCTCACTTCGATTTTTTAGCCGCATTTTTTCGTTCGTCATCTCCTTCCCCGCTGAGACTGAGATTGTGACCCACCACACTCGCCGACCCTTGTCGTCCTCAGAGAGTTCTCAAAGGAGAGGGAGAAGGCGAAGGCTCGCGGTGACTTTCAGAAGCTGCGAGAGAAGCAGCAACTGGAGGAGGACCTGCGCGGGTATCTGGACTGGATCACACAGGCCGAGTACCTCGAGCCCGAGAACGAGGGACACGCGGAGGAGACCAAACTACGTGAGTGACCGCCGGAACGGACGCAGGAGTAGTGTTTGGAACGGAACAGCAGATCACAGAGAACGGCAGAAACGGGCTCCGACACTTCTGGGTTTGAAGGATGAGGGAGAAGTGAGCGGCGCTTAGTATTACAAGGGACGGAAAAGGTCTGCTCCTGACACTTAGAATCGGATCTGGGCAAAACTTTTTTTGTCATTGTATAACTTGAAAACATTACGCGTCACATTCCTTCGTTTCGCTATATAAAAATGGCACTCGTCAATCGAATCAACCTAAATGATCAATTTTATTTGATGTTATTAATCGTTGACCATTTAAGAGTATAAAACAGTTAAGGCCGCCCACACTGGACCTCGCATGCGAGTTGCGAATTTTGGGTTTTCGTGTTTCTTCAAAATCAAAGAATGCCATCTAAGCTGAGCGACCCACACCACCATGTAACAAGCGAGTCTGCATTGTTTTAGATTACGAGCCACCTTGCATCGCATTTCAAAAGCTTATTTTGAGTCAACTTTCGATTTTCCTCGCTGCGAGGTCTGCGAGTTCTGCGAGGTTTGCGGGTTTTTCGTTGGAGTCGAATTTTGGTTCGTTACGCTGGTATTGCGACTATGTAATTTTCTGAAGGCGCACCAGCTTTGCACTACATTCATGAAATTACCATAAGGGAACGGTCTAATCACTCTATGAATTAGTATTATGCCCGCAATTTGACTATTTAGGCTGTCGTATGACGTCTCCCCCGTGTATCCTACTGGTCCTAACGCTGAGACGAAATGTGTGACATTTTCTGCGTGTTTGTTCCGCCATCAGATGATGCCCTGGAGGAGGACCACCAGCAAATAGAGGACACAGATGCACCTGACATGCCGCATGTCTCCTGCTGGGAACAGCAAAGGAAGGCGCTCGAAAAGTCAGTATGTCAGGAAAGTCAGCACATTAGAGCCGTAATGTTACAAAATTCAAAATCGCGGCTAAATTTCCAAATTCAATCCTGGCATAGTCTTAAATTTATGCAACTTCTTGTAGTATCTATAAAGACTTTATTTGTAAACGTTGCTTTTACTTATCACTTATAGCACAAGTTATGAGTGCAAAAAAAAAATATGTACACTGTCCCAATAGTAAGACTGCAGTCGGGTTAGAGTGCCAAATGCATGGCAACATGCATTTCAGCTATGACAGCCATGTGGCTGAAAGTGACAGCCATTTCTACAACAATATGCCTGACCGTTGGATCTAATCTTGGCTAATTAGTTAACGAATAGTATTGAGCTCACATGGTGCGTTCGTCTCAGGTATCCGCTTCATCTGTTCTCCTGGTGAGATACGCAGGCTATGATACCAGTTTACTTCTTTTCCACCTCGCTTTGAAGTATGTGCGTCCCTCACTTCAATGATGACAATGCTTCTTCAACCTTCTCAGAGTATGAGTGTAACTTCTACCGCAATGAGAGGTTCTAACGCTATCGTGCTATCCCCAGCTTCACAACTCCATCTTTACTCCATGAAGTTGTGTTCCTATCGGTACATTTTGTCTATTTGTTTGTCACGAGTTTTACCTTATGAAGTGCCGTTTTGTAAAATCCTCTGGTGTGACCTCATCTATGTACCTGCGTTCGTTTGTAAAAGCTTTAGCAGCTTCTCTCCAAGTTGAAAAATTTTGGTTGTGTGAATTTTCCATGCAGATAAATTTGAGGCTCAATACTCTGTCTGTCGCTATCAATGTTTTCCGGAGTGATGTCATTTATAACTGAACGGAGGAAATCATAGCCATAATACTCTTAACGTTCGATTATTTACCTTCCAAAACAAGTCTTATTTCCAAAAAGGGTAAACGGTTCCAGACTGCTAGATGAAAAGATATATATCCTATAGAAGCACCGAACCACATTAATATTTCAGCATTAGCTCTTTTTGGTGACTTTGTTATTTATTCGGTTGCCCGATGAGCATTTCGATCACTTCGTCAGCTTTTTGAGAAAAGAGAAATTGATGACGCATAACATGTTACATTTGTGCAATGTACAGGGCTCGCGGGTTTTAGCGGTAGGTTTTGCACCTAGAAAATTTAGTGTACTTCAGGCTATATCTTCGTCGTCTTAAGCTTTTAAGTGTTGAAGATGCGATCGACTTGTTGGGTAACAAGCCGGCCATGATCGTGTAAAATGGCTTCATCGTAGATCGATTAGTTTCTGAGATATAACCGGAAATGTAAAAGTGCAAAACCTACCGCTTAATCTCGCGAGACCTGTACGTAGGTATAGACCGTCTTTTCTAGAGAAACGTTGATAGAGAATAACAAAGAAGGTAAATATTAACAGGTACACCATACTTGTGAACTTCATTAGTTTTTCATTGTTTAAAAGTAGTCACATAACCATGACCGTTATTGTGTTCAATATTCAGATTATTCCGTCAGTTGTCTAACATCCTCCCACTGAATTCCAGCATTTTTCCAATGTCTCTATACTGCATGCAGCTGTCGTGTGACCCCGTGTCCGCTCGTGCCAGGTGTAACCGGAGGATGAAGCGTGGCTGCCGGTGGGCGGTCAAGTCGCAGGCCTTCTACTGGCTCATCATCATCCTCGTGTTCCTCAACACAGGAGTGCTGGCCACTGAGCACTACCATCAGCCGCCCTGGCTCGACCATTTCCAGGGTAAGCCCATTAATCGGCAGTGATGCTTGGAAGTGCTGGGTCTATATATTTACGGCATGACAGGGATCATGAATGTTTTTTATCGTGACACTGCTATGTTCATCAATGATGAGTGCCTGAAGACTTTTCTCTACTCGACTGTGATGCGAGAGTTTCCTTCGATAGGACCTTCAAAAAGAAAAGAAAAATGTTGCATAGCTGCGTAAGATATGGATATACATCTATATACATCTGTATCTTCCTGAGAAGTTAAATGGCACGTGGCCCTGCGGCCCCGTCGAGCACTCCCGGACCGCTCACACTGGGCCGGGGGTCCGGAAAAGTGCTAGAAATTATTTGTGATTGAGTTGTTGATCTCAGTGACAAGCAAACATGCTAAAAACGAAGTGGGGCTGCTTAACCCTCGCTGGACCTATTGTCGGACCCCCCACCCCCTCGGCCGGCCGAGGGGGGAGGGTTGGTACGACCCCTTTTTGCCGTTTCGCCCCTAATGGAGCTAGAGCCTCGCGGAAAAAACAAGCGTGTGCGCCGTTTCAAGGCGGAACGATTGATACCCGATTTTAAGGTCCCAGGTCAACCGGTAACCTCTGAGGTGAAGTCAAAAAGCCCAAGGTAGGGTTTGGTTTTTGGCAAATAATTTCGCAAAAAATGGCCGCAGAGCAGCGATTTTGGCACCATCGTGTTCGCCTGGCTCAGGCGCGTCGAATGGTATACTTTTTGTTCGGGTGAGGCCAACTTAAGGTATTGACCTCGAGTCAAGGTCAGTTCAGAGCCCATCAGGCCACGAACTTAATCGAAGGAGGTCGTATCGCATATCATTCGATTCGGGAGGTCTTCCCGAGTCCATTGGTGGCTTTCCCGAGTCGCTGGCTCAATTTTATCATGAGTTATTGACGAGAAACTCCTATGACCGGTGTGACGTCATAAATGACGTCACGGAAGGTCAAAAATGCAAAAGTAAAGCATCGGATCTTGCAAGGAGTGCACGAAATCACGATTCCGTGTGCTTGAGATAGTTTGAAATCATTCCATGCGCAAAAACAACAGTTTCCTTATTTCCCCATTCACTTTTAATGGTGAGGTCACGTGACCTCGAAGAGTAGCAGGCATTAGCAAAAATTGCGAGTAGGGCATGACAGAAAGATGATTGGTGGTTTGTATGGCATGGCCATTTTTAACGGCTCGAAATAACATTTCTCAAAAAGTCTAGCTAAAGAGCAAGTTGTTGTTGATTATCACTGACTTGTGTTTAGGGGTTAATAATGACTGAATTTTTTAGTTTGGCCCAGAAATGTTGACAGCATGGTGTGCGTTGATCAATTCTGAGCTCAGGGACATATATTTCATTTAGATTATAAGCGTTTGTTTTTCACAACTTCCAGCGTTTTAAAGAGCGCCGTCCTTCAGTAGAGCGGCGAGGTGACAATTGCCCCTACATCATGTGGTTTACTGGCGCATATCTCGAAAAGTAGCAGGGAAAAGCAGCAAAGCACCTATATGGAACAAAAGATGAGTAATCAGAGGCTAGTATGAAATGTTCATTTTTAGCCGCTCGAAATAACGTTTTTATAAAAGTCTAATTAAAAAATTGGATATGATTTTAAATTACGTCTTGCAGCTGCTTGCAAACAGCTAGCTTATCTTGCAGAAAAGCGATGCAATATGTCAGAATGATGTTGGCACAGTGAACAACAGTGCCCTGAACTAGTCTGACAGGAAATTTCGTTCAAAACGACGATTGGTCAACTAATAAATTACCACTAAAGTTCATCATTAAAATCGGTAAATGTGGTGGCCTATAGAGAGTCTAAATTGTTTTGTGTTTGGTGACAACTGACGACCTCAATTTTGACCTTAGGGCAAAACTAGCATCGGAATCGTATTCTTCGATCAATTTGGGATTAAATGATACCTATTTTGTTCATATTGCGGACAGGCAGTTTGGGGGAATTTCTAGCGCTTTTTCAGGCTGCCGGCCTACAGCGCGCTGTTTTACCGTCGCCGTTCAGTTGGGGGCTGTGCGGCCACCCCGGTGGCTGTCGGCGGCTGTCGAGACCCCCAAAGGTCAGCCGGGGCGCGTCGGTGAGCCGGGCCGCGGCGGTCACGTCCGGCCGGCCATATTAGATTACACCAGTGAGCTAACTGAAAGGCCACGGCCACACAGCCGGCCTAAGAAATGTCATCTGGTCATTAGGGCCGCTCAGGTAACGTTAATCGTCAGAAGTGAAACAACCTTGTTTGATGAACAATATTCAAAGAAAGCATTTAAAAAGGGAAATCTTTGAACTCTTCGTAATGTATCGCAAGCGTTTTTCATAAAAGTGAGACCCCATCGCTGTGGGTTTATTAGTCTAGTTTCACTTTTTCTGACCACATTTCCTTTCTTCATAAGTATCCAACACCAGCATTTGCTGTTAAAGCGAAAAGGACGTGCTTAAATACCCATCTCAATTATTACGTTTTCAAATGTGTCCTTTTGCAGTCCGTTTCCCTATTTTGTAATTGACGCCACGAAGCTGCAACCAAATTTGAGAACTGCAAGAAATTGTTTCCATTTTTAAAGTTCGTATTAAATATATGTGTGTATTGGCAGTTTGCACGTAATTAGAAATTTGCAATTCACATGACATACCTGTGCTGCACTTATTCACATGATGAATTATGCTCTGTTTCAGAAGTCACAAACTTGTTTTTCATCGTCCTGTTCACCATAGAGATGATTATCAAAATGTATGCACTTGGGTTCCAGGTGAGTTATTGGCATTTATTTTCAGTAAAACACTACATTAACTCTAATTTTGTCCAGTGTTATGTACAAAGCAAACGCAACTAAGCGTGTTTGATTTTATTACAAAATACCGAAAGATAGATTGTGGAAACAGCTTAGACTAGCTTTTGCATTGACGAAAGTACTTCATTTTTTAACAAGGCAAAAATGTAGACTACCATGCTGTTTTTGTTGTTGTTGTTTTTTTTTTTTTGCTGACACTGAGGGAGGCGGTGGTTTGCTGTCTGTTCGCAGAATTATTTTGTGTCGCTGTTCAACCGGTTCGACTGTTTCGTGGTCATCAGCAGTATCGTGGAGGTGGTGCTGACCAAGACGGGCGTTATGCCACCTCTCGGTGTCTCCGTCCTCCGTTGCGTCCGGCTCCTTCGGGTGTTCAAAGTCACCAGGTCAGTAGCCAGGTACCGTTCGACGAGACTCTACCATGTCAGGGTGGGCGGCTGTAGCGCATTGGTTTATTATGAGTAAAGCTCACTTATGTTCAATTTCAACGACAATAGTGTAAAATAGATCGCGTCATTCGAAACACATTGAAAATAAAACTGGGCGTTTCGGATCGTCATTGCAAAGCACATGCTTCGATGCTAGATCAATAATTGTAAGCGCGCCCTTTATTTGAACCTGTACACGGAAGTGCCAGGGCATGGCCTCGTTTTTATTGTTTAGCAATTACTACTGTAATGAATGAAGTAGCAACGAGTAGGAAGTGTCCCCCTGCTATGCGTTTCAACTTGTCGTATCCAATTTGTCACTGGAGCCGTACCCACAACATATTTTGTTAACTATTTCATCGTGTTCTGCTATGAAATGTGTCATTTTCTATCAAATATGATATGTCGCCCTAGATTTGTGCTTGAAATAATCATTGATGTTTAGTGCTATTAGTTGCATAGATTTAGAATAGTATAGTGATTGCTGATGTAGCCTGTGTTTGTAGGAATATAAGTGTTTAATTATTAAAATGCATGTTAGTGTACCCTGCCATGCAATGCTCCATTTTATTTCCCGCTATTTGATCCAGGCCGGTTTCTGTTGGTGTCTTATTTTGTCCACCCCGTCTGCTGAAAATCTGGCCAATACCCCTCTCTTCGTGTGTCTGTACGTAGGAGGGCCCATTTATTTTTGAGCTCTTCTTTTCCAGATATTGGAGAAACATGGGCAACCTCATCCGAGCCCTGGTCAACTCGATCCAGTCAATCGTCTCGCTCCTCTTCCTCTTGTTCCTGTTCATCTTCATCTTCTCACTGCTCGGGATGCAGATCTTTGGCGGCCGACTGCAGGGCCTCAGAAGTAACTTCAACTCGTTTTGGCAGTCCATTTTGACAGTATTCCAGGTACAGGCTCACCTTTTCTTTCCGGTTATGCATTCACACACCGGTTTGCATTGCGTTTCTGCGTACATATTTGGTCGGTGGCCGGACCGGCGGCCGGCGGTCGGCGGCGGTCTGCTGTGTGAGGTGCGGACGGGGTCAGTGCCAGTGCCCTACCCCCGCCTGCCGGCCGGACGGACCGCAGCCCGCCGCCGCCCCGGCCGGTCCTGCCGCCGTACCGGCCTCCTGCGGTGCCGTGGATCTCTGTACAGCTGACGGGCGCTGCGACTGCGTCACCTGCGCTGTTTTCTCGCGATCTTTTCTTTTCATCTTTCTATTTCTCTTCTCTCATTCTGCCTCTTTTTTCCAATGGCTGGTGTCTTCGGACTGAAAATTGCCTGTTCCTCAGCTCGTTCGCATCAGCCATCCCGCACTGTTCGGCGTTTCGTTAGTTTCCGTCATCCGTGGCCCTGACTGGTTGTGATTCCCGATCAATCATCCATCCGAGATCCTGTTTTTCACGCTCTCTGAGTCCTGTTTATAATTAAACCGAGAAACACGCCGGTTCAGCCGCGTGGATACCGGCCGCCATTTCCCAGAGCTCACTTTCGATAGCATGTTTTTATCCGTAGTGACTGTGAAGGAGTGTGTATACTGAAATATCCGAATCCTCGCTGGTTCGGATCAGGCGTGGAAATCTCCTTTACCCAGACAGTTTGCATGAGGACGAATGACTAGCTTATGCTGTTTCCGCTGCGTGTTATGTTGAGAAAGCTGTGAGAGAAGAACAGACATTGTTTGCTGGGCTGGATTCAATCTCAGACGTAATGCGTTCTATAAGTCCTCTAGTTCGAGTTCGAATTCAATGGCCAATGTCTGTTCGCTCTGACTGCAACTCCTGGCGTGTCCGATCCTGGCCTCTGCGCGATGACTAACCCTGTAAAGTCGGGCCGGGCCGAGTGGGTGGGACGGGACGGCGCGCCGCCGGCCGGTGCGCCGCCCGCTGATTGTGTGTCTCTGTCCCATGTTTCAGATACTGGCGCTCCCTCTCCAACCTGGTCGCATCCCTCCTCAACTCCATCCAGTCCATCGCCTCTCTGCTGTTGCTCCTCTTCCTCTTTATCGTCATCTTTGCTCTCCTTGGGATGCAGGTTTTCGGAGGCAAGTTTAATTTTGACTCGACGGACGCCAAACCGCGCAGCAACTTCGATACATTTGTACAGAGTTTGTTGACAGTATTCCAGGTAAAGATGTGTGCTAGAGCGCTACGTAGACCCGGGACGGTGACCGCTCCTTGGGGCACGGGTCCCGCTCTGGCGGGGTGTGCGGTTGGGTTGTGTGCGGTGGGCGAGCTTTGAGGCGGTGGTCTGATTTATCTGAAGTTTTTTATTTCGTCTTTGGCCTAGAATGTTTTATGGCATATTATTTTATGTTTCTTAACAATAACAGCATCTAAAATCATATTTTATATTTTGGCTTTTTAAGTAAAAGGCTTCTATTTATTGATATAATATTTGTTAATAAAATTAGTGTTTACTTTCATTTAGCTTCCTCAAGATGCATAATCTTATTTCTTCTTCCAAAATGTATTCAATCAATCAAATAATCTTAAAATTTTCAAGCATTTCCAGGTATCGCGATATTGTAGTATTTGGCAAAAACGGACGTGCGACATGCTCTGATTTAGTTGTATGTATACTAAGATCATCGATGTTTCACTCTCTAAATTTGGTACTTAAAAGCAAAAGTTGCAACGTTCTTCAACGAACCGACCTGGGGAGTGGCTTCTATTCGGTGGCGATAGGCCGTAAGCCAGCGGCGGTGCCCGTGCCCCGGACGGCGGCCGTTCCCGGGGTAGAGTCAGTGGTGACCGGTCCGCTCTCTCTCTCTCTGTCGTCCTCCCGTCCCTCATAGGTGTCACTCTGCCACTCTCACTAACGACCGGAGCATGAGCAGCGCTTCTCCCTCCCTCTGCCCCCTCCCACCTTGGCGCGCCTCGATTCTCTCCCACTGTCCCAGTTAGCGGCGTCTGCCGGACGTAGAGCTGTGCTGGACGAATAGACCGATGTTTGCTGTGTTCAGAGGCGTCGTTTGCGGTCAAATCAAGCAGGGTTCTTATAAACGTATTTGTCTCACTAACAGTTTAGCATGGATCTCGTTTATGGGATCTCCCGCCAGGATGGCCGTCTCTTGAAGAAAATGACGCAGCCATTCTGAGTTCCAAAGTTCATTAGAATAATGCTTCTCATGCTGAATATTATGAGAAAAGCGCTCCTTTGAGGCGCTTTTCATCCACTTTCTTGTCGACCAATAACGTAAGAATCCGTCGTGATTTGACCGCATATTGATGCCTATTGTCAGGTGTAAAAGCCTGATCAATGCGCTGACAACAAGAGGGGTCTGTCTCTCAGATAGATGTCGCATCTCTGTTATTATGTCGAGCTCGTGTTTGATGTTCAGTGGTGTGAAGTGTGCGCATGTATATAGCCATCCTAACACGCCGTGCCGTTGCATGACATTATTTTGCCTCAGCTTTATCAGAATAATCGCCAACTGCCGTTCAGCCTCAGTAAAGTTATAACTGGAAACGGTTGGCTGGTGTTATTTAGTTCTGTCAGAGCTCATTTGCTAGCTGGTAGATTTTGTAAGCTATGGCTGTGGTAAAGTTATACTTTAAAATAATAAACATACTGTGAAAACAGACAAAGAATTAAACAGTTAACATCACTTCCGGTTGTGCAGCAATGCTATTGAAAGTTGCATATGAAAAAGATGACTTGTCTTTGAATGAATAATCACTTGTTGCTTCATAAATGTCCAATTCATCAGCAAATCCTCTACAAATTATCGTCCAGTGCCGTTGAGAATGTGTGGCTTTCAGCCTGTGTTGGACGCGTGTGTCGTCAGATTCTCACCGGTGAGGACTGGAACATGGTCATGTACCACGGCATCCAGGCGTACGGCGGGGTCGGAGGATTCGGCGCGCTGGCCTGCGTCTACTTCATCATCCTCTTCATCTGCGGAAACTGTATCCTTGCACTGCGTGCCGATGGCAATTAATCACTTTTGAAGTGTTTCTCAATGCTGAACGCTAACTTAATTAAATAAAATTAGGTAAAGAATATGACAAACCATCATTAATCAATGTGGCCCATTTTTATCAAGCGGATGTTCTTATCTAGTTTCCTTGACAATGGGCTGATCAGACATTCTGTTGAACGTCTTCCTGGCCATCGCGGTGGATAATCTGGCGGACGCCGAGTCGCTGACGGCGATAGAAAAAGAGGAGGAGGAGGAGGTAGGAAACGTCTGGTGCCTCAGCTAGGGGATGTAACTGAAACGATAAAAAGGACGGTGAAACATCGATCCATTTTATCCAACCTTTTTCCGTCTTCATATAGATGCTGACTCTCATCTATATTACTATTTGAGGAGGGTGCGTCTGTCCGTTACCGAGGTCCCGACTTGGTGGTGCTTTGCGTGGACTACAGGCCAGACCGTTGCACCTAGCCCGGTGAAATTTGCACAACTTATAGATCAAGGATGCGCGACGTGCCTTTGAGGGGTCTCAGCTCGGTCGGATTGATAGGGAGCGCGTGGCGCGTGCTCAAAAAGTGCAAATTCGCGTCATAGACTTTACATGTATAAATCGGCGTGCGAAATCGGGCGAAAACGGCTAATTTTGGCCGACACGGGTCCAGTTCCCGTGCAATATCTTGGTGACCAGGGTTTCGACCGGCACGGGGAAAACAGCATCGTGTACAGAATGGGGATGTTCGCGCTAAGAGTTCCGAAAAGTCTCGCCAGGTGGCAGCACCGTATGCTTTGGACACAGCGCGCCGGCCGGGCGCCGGCCGGGCCGGGGATAACACTGCGGGCGGCGACGGCGGCCGACGCGCCCCGAACGGGAACTGCGTTTCATGTCTTTTTCAGGTTCATCATTTTGCTAAAATGAGTAGCTACAGTTGATTTCGATATTAGGAAGACAATGACGCGTGTGGAAGGCAAACTACTACATCGTCATAGAGCGGAAGGAAAGGGAGCCGGTCGAGTGGTCACCAAAAGCTACGGAGTACGAATGATACGATGTTATCACATAATTTAACTTACACAGTTGAAATTAAAAACCTTATTACATTCAGACATATATTCACACGCATGAAACAATCGATTTACAGCACACATTACATGACAAGAACGCATACCTACGGTCTTAAGTTGACCTGTAGCGCTCGTCACTGTCAGATAAGTCAATCACATCCCTGTAGTTTGTACAGACTATTGACTAAACCCTTCATCCGGCATGCGTTCATTCTGTAATGATGGGCAACGAATCACCGGCGATTTCTGCGTGGCTCTATATGACATCCTCGTCCGTTCCCAAGGTCCATTGGTTCGGTGACTTTCAAATTATAGCAGGGCCTTCCTCGGTCAGGCTTGATGGATCCACCGTCACTTTGCGCGGTACTTTTAAGACAGACTGTACCTACTACCAACACGACTGACTGATTACAATATGATGCGAAATGGACAATATCAGTTAAAGTTTAATATTTAGCGACACAAGTGTGAAAGCTGCCTGGAAAACTTGCAACAAACTAAGTAAACTAAGCTTGGCTTGTAATGGGCACAAACTTGTAATAAAGGGGTACTTAACAAATCCACAATGTTCTGTTTAGGCAAGTAGCCTTCACATATGAAGCATTGCTATGACTACTCTTCTAGAGCTGATTGATAGCTTTTGAAGGAAGGAACTGAGTGGCTGAGCCCTACCATTCACCACTTGTCACCTTCAACAATTGCTTAAGGCATGCAGTTCTTTATCACTAGAAAATACCTGACAGTTTGCTGCCTCTCATTTGTGTATGATGCAACACACTATGCATCAGTGATACTAGGACACGAAATGTTGAACACTAGCATGGGTTGCAATGCAGCCCCAGAAGCCAGAGCAAAAATTGACACCTTAATCAACTTTATGATTGTAGCAAAACTCCACTGCTTGACTACACAGAGCACCAACTGTTTGCTCCTCTAAACTTTCACCAAAGGAAGTGTTGCTGATGTCATTTGTAGCAGCAGTGACACTGGTAACTTCAGATCACAGGACCTGGTAGCATCCATGCTCTTGAATCTGGATCTTATCAATGCAGCATCGCACCTGTGAATAAATGAAAAATGGCATAAGACAGTAGGGAAAGATCTTGGCAAGTCATAATGAGATACATATGTTTAACATGCATGGATTAAAGGACATTATATACTGAAGCAATTAGCAAAACATTGCAGTTTAAGCACAGTTGAAATCTGATATGATGAACTGGATACAGTGACATCATCAAGACCCATGAACTTTTCACAAAGTATTTGCAATTTTGAAATGCACTTTTATTGCAGTTACCTATACAAATATTCCAGAAGGTGAAAATTTATTTAAAAAAAACAGCAAACAACTTGCCCGTATTTAGTTGCTAAAAAGCTGAGTGAATATTCTAAAAAAGTGTTCACTTCAGTGTGAATCAAAACTTAGAGTAAACAATTTTTACCTGATGAAATGAAGATATTATATCAATAATGAGTAGCTTTGGGTGGTGATGAGTTAAAAAAAACATTTTGCAAGAAAGGCTATCAGTTACTTCTGGATGATATACTGCAGTGCACAAGCTGTTCACCAACTCCTACCTGGTCTTTCAGTGGGATCCCTCTGTATGTACCTAAGAACTTCATCCGCAGGGCTGGTTCCTTCATACGCAGGTCCTCTGCCTTCCTTGATTCCTCCGACTCCATCCTGACAACTCCGCACCAGAAGCATGATTGCACTGGGCACCTGTAACACCATGTAGGATGATCAATAATTGTAACAATTCATAAATAGTAGGTAGCTTAGTGTTCTATTACATATACCTCCTGGTTGCTGGTGTCAAAATAGATCATATTGTCTTTTTCCATCATAACCTTTATCTGCATGCAATATCTTTGGTACCAGACAAAGTAGAACACTGCTAAAATGCTTGCAATGAATCTTATAAAAATGCATTGAATTTATATAATCATTCTCAGCAGCATGTATCATCTTTTAATGCCTTTCTCAAAGGGCAGGTCAATTTCCTACATTGATATGCCCATAAACTTATAACAAGTAAATTACTTCATATGGGCAATACAAGATAAAGCTATGAGTTAAGTTATATTATTTTATGCTCCGATAGGCGTTATCACAAGTGTATTCGCGGCCATTGGGGCGACGTAAGAAAAGAAGAAAACAACTGGCCCCAAGAACTTTAAATTATCAAATAGCAAGCAAATTTTCCTTGATATGTAGAGAATTTACCATTAATTGTTAGAGAAAATTGCATTTAAAATCTTCCATTTATGCTTTTTTCATCGTTTGCACAGTATGTTCTTTTACTAGGCTAGAAACACTCATTAGAAATAGTTCCCGCATCATCAAGAACAATAGGGAAAGCTTGAAGTGAATACAATAATCTAAACGGTTTTGTAATCCATGTGAAGACACTTCTAAAATTGCCTGTAGAAATATTAAAGGCAAAAGTTCAACTTTTTCACAAGACGGATGGCTATAAACCTATTTAACGTGTGACAACTCAGCCGGTATATCGTCGCCTACAGCCCAGCTTTCCCTAGTGACCGATAGAGGCGCTGCTATCGATGTCCGCCCGTGCCGCCTAACGCTTAGTTATGCTCGCCATAAAAAAAAATGTCGGGAAACGTGTTACATCGATGGAATTACCGTTTGGAGTCGGTCTATCTTCGGCTTCTCGCCTCTCTTCGGCTACGTCAATTGAAGCCTTTCTAAGTCTCCTGTCCTTTGTAAACTTGCCTTTCCATGTTTGTGACACTTGCCGAATATAAATGCACAACCCATCTGAGCAAAATTCAAATCAATTGCTATCAAATTCACCGAGATTCAGTCCCTCGGACCGACACCGCACGGACTCCACACAGTGCAAAACATAGTGGCGCATTCGCCGCCACAGTTTCTGTGTCCAAAGAAGGCAGTGCTGCCACCTGGTGAGGAAATAAGCCGAACATCCCCATTGAACGGGCTATTGAATGGTGTGCGTTGCAGGGGATGGCACGCGCCACGTGCCCCTATGAGGATACTTTTATTGAAAAATTGCAGTTTTTTACGGATTTTGGGATTAATTTTATTTTTAGTTGACCGTTAAACGGAGCGAGTTGGAACAACGCCTGTTGGCAAGAGAAATGTACCGCCTCTCATGGGAAAATTGTGAAAAGCTAATTGATCCAAATCAAGGTGGTACAAATCACGGGAGAAAATAGTGTTTGTCAATTTTGTGCCACTTCATTAATCACACGGGTTTTGCTCAATGATCTGATATCTCTGGCAATTAAAAATGGCACCGTTGGAAAGAGCATTCAATTCTGTCCAAGGTTCAGTCTTCATTTTTGCATGATGATCAACAGTATTCTTAAAAAATGTAAATGTTCCAAACCATTACATTGTCATTTTTACCGAAATTCATCGATGGCCCTTAAAAGACTTCACGTCAGTTTTCGAATTATTCTGAAGTAGAACGCATGATTTTACGACACGGGCACCTCGATGCGATGTATCTTTTTTTATTACAAAATGCTTGGCCGTCAAAAAGCAATCGAACGAAATGGATACCAACCAAATCGACACAGACCAACCCAATACCCATGGGTCAAAAATAACCATTCTTCGCGTTGCGGAGCACGCGGGTAACCCTAGTGACTGTTCTATTATATTAATTTGATATGCTATTATAGCGCACCTTATCGTCAGAGTTTTATTCGTGCTCCTTACAAAAGTATGTAGCACTTCAGAGACGGCAATACACTTTACTCCCCTGACCATTTCCGCAGGCGCAGATAGCCAAGTCACGGTCTCGCAGCGGCTCCCCTAAAAAGGAGGAGATTATCGAAGACGGTGTCGTGAGCTCCTCCGAGAAAACGTCTCAGTACGGATCACAAAAGCTTGGCGCCGACCTCAACCATATCGGGTAAGTGACAGCCCAAATGAGAGGCTTTATCCTGCGACCCAATGTAGCGTGGATTCGCTACAACCCGCCCGGCGAAGATTCCTGAAAGCTAGACTGTGCCGCATCGCTGCTGTGTGATGCGGTACAGTCTACCCAATCAGGCGAACGGAAATGCGCCTTCGATGAGACCGGAGGGTCCGTGAGCTCCCGTTTAGCGCTTTTCGTTGAATATTTAAATATGTATGCACATTTTACTCTAGGGAGCGATTAAAATGTCTCGGATTATCACTTATTCTTAACGGATAGCACTTCAAGACTGTAACGGCAGTATGACTGATATGCTATGCCTAATGGCAAACGCTGGAAACAGCGCGGTAACGGTGTGTGGAGCGTCTCCCTGAGTTTATCGCTCCTCCGTCAGCGTGGAGCTGCGGTCCAGTCGATGTAGCGTGACAGCCGCCCACCACGAGACGCTCGAGGAACCCAGCTACGACGACTATGAGAGCGGTAAGTAATATGGAATACGGTGCCGGCAGTTAGAGTGTTAGACAGTCTCAGCATCGCAACTAAACGTTGCGTTTGGGTCACGCTTCTACATACACTTCACCATAATGTCTACTGAATATGCATCTGCCACCCAGGGAGGCAGATCTAACAATCGTTCTCCCACAAAATGTACTAGGCGCTAGTAATTTTCCGTTATTTATACCGACATTTATTGTAGCAAGTAGATTTTGCATCAAAGCTAGACACGTGCATGTTTTAAAGGAGCAATGTCTAATGTCTATCCTCACTGATATCAATGTTAACAAATAAGAAACGTTTCGCTTTTTATTAACAATAAACTCCTCTTATTTTTCTTATTAGCTCTATCCACTTTAGCAAATTAGCTACCGACGAACATACCAATGGCAGTACCTAATTTGTCAACATATAAACTGATTATGTAAGTTGTAACTGCAAGGCGTCCCATGCCGAGAACTATATTAGCTTAATTAACCTACGACTTTCCGTGCAAGAGCACCACATATTAGTATTTGTGTTTATTGTCTGTTAACTACTTTAAATGCATACGGTTTGTTCCAAGAACAACAGCATAATTTACTGTTCGTCTCCACGTTATCCGTGCTAACATTTTTTGGACTAACGACCTCTGTTTCGCCTGCTCCTAGTAATATGCCACTGTCTTGTCAGGTCTGCACGCACTGCTCTCTCGACGTTTTTCGTCATTTTTACAGTGTGATTCTATATAATAGTATCTGGCCATCTCTTTTCA